AGAGAGAGAGAGAATATATATATATATAGAGAGAGAGAAAGAGAGAGAGAGAGAATGTTCTACTTTTAGGTAAAATAAAGCATATCACACTGCAGGAAAATGCTGTCATAATATGAAAAACAAATAAATAAAAAGGCACAATTAACAACGTACTCCTGGATAACATTTTATCCTGAGAACCATAAAAAAAAAGTTTTATGAATTTTGTTGTTTTTTGTCATTACATTGGTTGGAGCATAAGAAACAAATGGAGAAAAAACATTTTTGAAAAAAAAAAAAAAAGATATTTTATTCATATTTTATTCTATGTCCTTTGTAGAGGACGCCAGGACTAAGTTATTCAGATAAATAAATAGACACAAAAAGGCATGTATAGGCAAAAACAATGTTTTATTTTTTTCATTCACCAATCAGTTTTTAGGTTTAAGGCTATTTTTAGCCAAACTTTCTACAAATGATGATTCTCAACTATTATGAAAGCTATAACAGAATGATTTGGAATATGTACGTAAAATGTCCATAAATTGGTATTCCCATTCTATACAATGTATCTATACATTGCATCTAATTTGCATATGAATGTGTTCTTGGGGGAAACCATAATGAAAAAAGAAGTGTTATAATGGGAGCAATAACGTAGCAACATTTTCATAAGAATATCTCATATTTCATAGGAATATTAATCTATAATTTCTTTCCCTTCTGACTTCTTGTGTCTCCCCAAAATGCCTGATTAACATGATTTTTGTCCTGTGTCCTCTACAGAAGACATGTATGAAAATTCTGCAGTTTCGTAACAGTCATATTCCGATTTGAAACCCCATAACCTTTTTCTGAGATGTTTATTCACAACAAACAATTTGAAAATTAGCCAGATTTAAATAATAATTACAAAACATGATCAGATTCCCCTAAGAGTGCTAAATTTGATAATTCTGTCAATATCAGTCATAGTTAAAGACCAAGGAGAGGGAGTGTTTATGATCAAACCTCCAAACATTTGATATCTCTAAAAGGGGAAGTCGTGGCCTAATGGTTAGAGAGTTGGACTCGTAACCCAAAAGGTTGCGAGTTCGAGTCTCGTACCGGCAGGGATTGTAGGTGGGGGGAGTGAATGTACAGCACTCTCTCCCACCTTCAATACCACGACTGAGGTGCCCTTGAGCAAGGCACCGAACCCCCAACTGCTCCCCGGGCGCCGCAGCATAAAAAATGGCTGCCCACTGCTCCGGGTGTGTGTTCACGGTGTGTGTGTGTTCACTGCTGTGTGTGTGCACTTAGGATGGGTTAAATGCAGAGCACTAATTCCTAGTATGGGTCACCATACTTGGCCACATGTCACGTCACAAGTCACAAGTCTTTTTAAGCCCTGAATGTGGCATGCATGGTCTCAGGGAACTTCACTAAAATATGTATTTTACAAAGGACAAAAGTCTAAGCCCCAGGAGGGTCCCATGAAGGTATGACAAAACTGAACGGCATAGGAACTAAAACAACACAATATCATACTGACACTTTATAAGGAGTCCTACCATCAATCTTGTTGGAGCTGTAGACAACAGTGTTGGCGGCATGGGTGTATCTGATGAGATCCACACCGTACTTCTTACTGTAAAGCGTCCGTTTGGGTCTGATATAAAAGACATAGACGAAGAAATAAATAAGTTAATCTGGTTGCTTAATTAGAAACATGCAATTATGTGTGTGTCTGTATCATGAAACACATAACATTAAAAACAAAATACTAAGGCGGGCTCGGAAGGAGGCGTGGATGCTAACGGTTAGCATGCGAGCTACCTCTCATTCTGACTGTACATTCGACTCATTTCCGCGAATCGGTTCCTTCGAAATATTCATTTCAAAGATCCGGTTAAAGATAATGCGGTTCTTTTACGTCATTTCGTGGTCCTTGACATTCGAGCGTAGCATATTACGATAAAGCCATACCAGTTATTAATAGCGGTGTTTATTAAAAAATTATGTGTTACAGTATATTTAGTTACCGCCATGATTCAGCGAATAAAACATTAAGACATCAAAACGGCTCTGGTTTCAGTGAGTCAGTGAATCAACTCAACTGAATCACTGAAAAGATCCGACTCAAACATCGCTACTGTACATAAACACGTTCAAACCACAATACTCTCTATGAACAGTAAAATTCATAACCAATGTATGTAATTACCGCCATGATTCAGCGAATAAAACATTAAGACATCAAAACGGCTCTGGTTTCAGTGAGTCAGTGAATCAACTCAACTGAATCACTGAAAAGATCCGACTCAAACATCGCTACTGTACATAAACACGTTCAAACCACAATACTCTCTATGAACAGTAAAATTCATAAATCTTATTACAGTACTAGTCGTTCTTAATCTTTCACATTTCACACAGGAATGCTCCTGTAACCAAGATCAATGCTTTAAGAGCCCGTTAAGACCAAATCAACGCAGAACAACACTAGCCAGTTGTAGGAAAAAGCGACTTACTTTCCCTCCTGGCAGTCGTACAAGACAATCGAGTCGTCATCGCTACTCGATATTACAGTTTCGCCGTTCGAACTGAAGTCAAAGCAGTTGATTTTGTCCGAATTCTCTCGGAAAACCTTCGCAACCCTGAAACTCCGCAGCACATTGTCTGTGAGCTTCATTGTGGCCTTTCTGCCTGGCCAGGCGCTGGGGATCGTCTAGTTAAAAACGAGTAGATCGGGATCTGGCTTATCAGTTTTGTGTGTTGCGAGTGTTTCGTGATAATTTTTTTAAGTGAAAATAGTTTTAGATGTACATTTTTGTCACGTTAAAAAAGCCCGCCGACAAAATTCGTCAACGAACCGGATTACGAAACCGAGATGAAGCTAGAGGTAGTAAGGCGGTAAACAAAATGGCCACAACACCTGCGGACGTTTCAGAATAAAAGTCCCATGCCGATTTAAGCAGAGATTCAAAGTCAGAGGAAGATTTTGAAGTTATTTAGGGGTCTGATTTATTGTACACACTTAACATGAACCTTCCATGACGTACACGAAAAAAAATAAGTGAACGTCCGGTTATTTAGTTTTGATTTGACAGCTGTAATGAGGATCTGAATTTCACATCTGCTCTCTAGCTGCTGATGTGTTTATCTGTATTTGTTGCTAGGTTGATTCCTATACAGTCAATGGTCGAGTCTCATATTTCAGCCGTGATCAAATGCCACATTTATTATCAATCAACAGTACATTTAGTTTTCCATCATAATTTTTGTCCAAGACTTTTTTTCAAATAAATGCAGGGCTGAACAGAAACAGGATGTTATTATCATACTACAAGATGAATCTATTCTCTCTCGTATATGATACATTCTGCACATAGACATCATACTAGCCTCACCCAAAACCAGCCAGTGGTATAAAAGTAAGCACTGGACTGTTCTAGACAATTACACCGAGAAAATCAGCATCAAAAGCTTACCAAATACAAAGCAGACTAATTTTTTTTCAGTGAATTAAAGAGCTGGATTAGGTGCATTTATCTTTGTTTCCTTTCTAACCAAACAAATCTACAATGGCAAGCAGTGATTCAAATGTGAGTTCTGTACTGTGTAGACTTCTGCAATGAACATATGATTAATATGAACTTGAATTAACCAACATCTGTTTTTCAAAGGGGGAAATCTGCACTGTTGGAGATATGTATATATTCACAGTGAATGTAAGTGAGTTTGCACCAGAAGAAGTTACTGTAACCTCCACCAATAATTCAATCCAAGTCTGTGCAGAAAAGGTAAGCAAAATAAATTCTAACAGCTATTTTAATAGCAAGCTTTCTCTTCACTGATTTTTACTTTTAAAAATGAAGAGCATTGATTGGGCTTTGTTTGTGTTTTTACTCAACATCTTATTATATTCTGTGTCTTTTTTTAATTTAATTTCTTTTCTTTCTTCTTTCGAGTCAGCTGGCATCAGATGGCACAATTGTGGACTCTGTTTGTCAGAAGTGCCAATTCCCGGCTGATGTGGATCCAATGTCAGTCACATCTTCTCTAGAGAAAGGTGGCTTGTTGAGTATTAAAGCCCAAAAACAAACAGTAAAAGGCTCTGCAATCATAGATTCAATCTAAGAAGTGAAAACCTAATGTATGGATGTATGTTTGAGCATTTTTGAAACAATCTGTTTTCTCATTATTGTACTCTAAATGTCATCATTTGGATTATTAAACAAAAACAAAATGTTACAATGTGTGTTTGTATTTTAATAAGGATTTTGACTTCAAAATATAATCTGAGGTTCATGAGTATATGCATATAACTATGTTTTTTGTTGCAACTGTCTTCAAACTACAAGCAAACTCATTTCATGACATTTTTATATTTTTGTTCACCATTTCTTGACTCACAGATATTTGTCACTGACTGAAATGACTAATAAAATTATAGGCATTTAGGAACATGAAAAATACTTCAAGTAAGTGGTATTCAGAGTGTTTCCATAGCAGCATATTCCATCTATGAAATTTATTGACCAATCCATGTTAGATTGACCCACAATACACGTACAAGCTATACAATGATCTCTGAGTCTGTTTCTCTGAGAGCAGCCTGTGTGGAGATGGACACAGATGAAGCAGCCACACAGTCCTGGTGCCATAGGTTTTCTGCAAGGGCATTTAGGAGGGGTGCTACTTCACCAAGCCCCGCACTCACATCACCTCCCACTCGGAAGCTCGGAAGACCCCACACTTCTTGAAAATGTGTTACGTCGCTCTCTGTCACATCTGTGTGCATAAATAAGTCAAATCTGCACTGTTAAGGGCCATAAATGTCACATGACAACACAACATTATGCTGTTAATCAGTGCTATTTTAGTATCATTCAAATACTATTATAGTTTTTAGTAACATTTTGAATGTTTTTATTTTTATATTTTCCATTTTCATTTCCCACATAATTTTGTTGTGATTTTGTCATTTTTATTTTTAAATATATCTATATAATTTCAATAATTTTTTAAATTTCAGTTTTAGTTTTAGTTATTTTAGTATATTAAGTTAAACTAAGAAAAATAAGTTTAAGGTTTTGATATTTTATTTCAGTTATTGTTTATTTTATTTCAAGTAACATTTTTTTAATTAACTGTAATAACTAAGCGGACAGCGGTAGCGGCAGCCGTCGCGTGAAGGCCTCCTTGTGTGCAGACCGAAGAGTGTAAAGACCATCGACTCTACCGGGCAGGGACACCGGCAAAGGATAAGTATCGCTTTTTATTTCTCCTCTTTCCTATTACTTGTTTCGCTTCTGTTTCAGTTTTTATAACCATTTCTTACTATGTGTAAGTAAGTTGTTGTTTTTTAGCATGTGTGTTTGGCAGTGTTATTTTTTAGGATTACAGATTTTCCATGGGGTTTAAGTCTGGGCTCTGACTAGGCCATGTAAAGACCTTTTTCTCCTTCAACCACTGTGTGCTCAGTTTTGCTGTGTGCTTTGGGTTATTGTTATGTTGGAAGGTAAACCTTCTTCCCATTGACAACTTTCTGGCAGAGGGCAACAGAATTTCCTCAAGAATTTGACGTTATTTTGCCCCATCCACTTTTCCTTCTATCCTGACAAGTGCTCCAGTCCCTGCTGCAGAGAAACACCCCATAACAGGATAGCACCACCTCCATGCTTTACTGTAGGAATGCTCAGTGCTTGAAGTGGGAAAAAATAAGTGCCGGTACCCAGTTTTGGAGTTCCCGTCCCCATTTGGAGATCTCCAGGCTGCAGTTATACCCTTCTCAGCTATTAGAGTAACGCTGGTTCGACAGTGGAAGCGCAGCATTGGCCCCGCCTGGCTCGCACTGGCCTGACAGTTGAAGAGCGACAACCCCTGCGGTAGACCGACTCCACTTGCATTCATTCACGCGATTTGTGGAGATGAGAGGTGACCCCTCCTGGTAGTGTGCTTTATATACTGTTATATTTCACCAGACACTGACGCTTTGACTCTGAGTAGGCCTATCGGCAACATGTTAGAAGTACCGGTACGCACAAAAAAGTGCCAGTACGCTAAAGACTAGAATACAGAAGTGCCGGTACTGTGTACCGGTGCATACCGGCCCACTTCAAGCATTTGGATGGTGAGCTTTATATGATTTCCGCCAGACATTTCGTTTGGTTTTGAGGCCGAATCATTCAATTTTAGTCTTATCTGCCTCAGAATCTTCAAGGTGTGGTTTGGCAAAGTTCAGTAGTGACTGCATGTAGCCTTTCTTGAAGAGTGGCTTTTTTTCTTGCAACCCTCCCATACAATTTGTGTGAATTTGTGATATTGTTGTCACATGCATACAATGATCACTCTTTGTCATAAATTCGTGCAACTGCTTCAGAGTAGCTGTAGGCCTCTTGGTCGCCTCTCTGACCAGTTTCCTCCTGACTCTTTCATCCAGTTTGGAGTGACGTCCTGATCCAAGGAGGGTCTGTAGACTTCACTGTGCTTCTAGGCATTGATAAAGCCTTTTACATTTTTTTTTTATCTATCTCCTGTAGTGGTCGACCGATATGGGTTTTTTGACAGCCGATACCGATGCCGACATCTTGGAAAGCAGGGTGGCCGATGGCCGATATAAAGCCGATATCATATATGCCGATATTTGAAAAATGGCAGATATCGGCCGATATATCGGCCTTGGCGATATATCGGTCGACCAGGAGATTCTCCTGACTTGTGCCTGTCCACAACTTTATCCCAGAGATCTTTTGACAGTGCCTTGCCACCCATAGTTGATTGTCTGCTTCAGTTGCACTACCAAGGACTGAAATGCTCTAGGAAAGCTCGTTTCATGCTGAGTTAATCAAAATGACCACAGCTGATCACAGATGAAAGTCAAATGGCTTTGTGTGTCATTGAGAAAATGACTAGCTACTCCTGATTGAGTTTACAAGTCATTTTTCTAACTCAGTGATTCTTTTTTTTTTTTTTTCTGACATGTTGGTGTTATATCGTTCACTTGGATGTTATAAGTTACAGCTGGATAAAATAAAAACTGTGTCCGTCTTCATTTCAGGCTGCAAAGCAACAAAATGTGATTATTTTAAAGGGAGGGTGATTCTTTTCTATACCCACTGTACATTTGAATGTAAATGTCAACTAAATGCTGTTAACTGGTTAAGGATACTTGGTGCCAATGACCAGTTTAACCACTCGATCTGAAGATTCTGTGATCCGTGATATCTGATTTGAAAGATCATCAAAGGAGCCACGATCAGTGAAGGAGAACAGGAAAAGGATTGCATCCACCTGTTCCTTACAGGACTGAAGAGAGAAGAATGACGTCATATATTAAACATCATACCATAAAATGATACAGTGAAACAGAATTTGTGGATTAAAGGGACAGTTCACCCAAAAATGTAAGTTTTGTCATCATTTACTTACCCTCAAGTTGTTCCAAACCTGTTTGAGTTTCTTTATTCTGTGGAAGAAAAGAAATGACAAAAGAAGATATTTTAAAGAATGATGGTAACCAAAGAGTTGCTAGTCCCCATTGACTTCAGTAGTATTTTTGGTCCATACTATGGATGTAAATGGGGACCAGAAACTGTTGGTTACCAATATTCTTCAGAATATCTTATTTTATGTTCCACAGAACAAAGAAACTCATACAGGTTTGGAACCACATGACAGTAAGTAAAAGATGTCATTTTTTGGTGAACTATTCATTGCTAAAACTGTCCGGTCCTGCAGATTTGCTTTATACAACATTAGGAAGATCAGGCACTTTCTTTCAGAACATGCAATACAACTCCTTGTTCAAGCTCTTGTTCTGTCCAGCTGGACTATTGCAATGCTTTCTTGGCAGGTCTTCCAGCCACTTCTATCAAACCTCTACAATTAATCCAAAATGCCGCTGCAAGATTAATCTTTAATGAGCCGAAATGAACGCATGTCACACCTCTGTTTAATAATTTGTACTGGCTACCAATAGCTGCTCGCATAAAATTCAAGGCATTAATGTTTTCCTACAAAACCACCACTGACTCTGCACCCATTTACCTAAATTCATTACTCCAGAGTTATGTGCCCTCTAGAAGCTTGCGTTCTGCAAGTGAACGACGCATTATTGTGCCATCTCAAAGAGGCACAAAATCACTTTCACTGACTTTTACATTAACTGTTCCCTCCTGGTGGAATGACCTGCCCAACTCAATCCGAGCAGTCCAACTCAGTCCTTAGCCATCTTCAAGAAACTACTAAAAACACATCTGTTCCATCTTTACTTGACCCTCTAACTCTACCACATTCTGTTCTATTTTAATTCTACTTTATATATATCTATCTTCTTTTTTTTTTATAAAAAAAAAAAAACTAGCTTTCTATTTTTTCTATTCTATCTACTTGCTTTTCTTTGTGTGTGTGTGTGTGTATATGCGTGTATAATATATATATATATATATATATATATATACCTTGCCGAGACTTGTAATTTGCACTTATATATTGTTGCTCTTTTGTTAGTTTTGACTGCTTTTATTGTCCTCATTTGTAAATCACTTTGGATAAAAGCGTCTGCTAAATGACTAAATGTAAATGTAAACCATACATTTAAGGGAATGTAAGTAATTAAAACTGTGTAATATGATGGAGATTCTCACCGGTAACATGTGGTCAAATCTTCGTATTGCACTTTCCCCACAATCCCAAAGCTCAAAGCGGAAAAACAGCACACGACCACTCTCCTTTAGTCTTACAGGCCAGAAGACCACGGTTGTCTCTATTCCTATAAGAATCAGATGCAATGACCACTGATGTTTTGTATTGACTATATTAAATTAACATACTGACAATGACGCGTATACTGACACCTATCTGTGTGGATGTGATGAAGCATAACTTCAAAGCTTGGAGTTGTTGTCCAAAGCTGTTATCAATGCAATTGTATACATTCAAATAACATGTTAGCAATATATCTGTCATCATCCATTATTAATTTATTCTGCAACTAAATGTGTATTATAATAAACGTGTTATGTGGCTGGTCAAGTTATCTCAAGACCGCCATGAACGGGGTTGAATAGAATCGCTTATTTTTATAGGTCACTGATAGAGTCTTCATCTCACACGATGTTGAGTTGAGATGATTTTTAAACGTATTTATTGAAAGTACTATAAAAAAGTATTTTTTTTAACAATAAAAATGTATTTAATATGTGTGGTTTGTTCACCTGTGGTCTCATAGTGCATTTTGGGGAGATCGAGGCCAGCGAGACGGTCAGCAAGAGCGCTTTTCCCGACTCCAGTTTTTCCTGAGATGAAGACCTTGTAGCGAACGATGTCCACATTCATATGAGGAGGCATTATTGGTGCTTCTAAGAGCCCTTAGTATATAAAAACCATTAAATGTAGCATTTTATATGTTAGCTATAGCAAATACTTATTTTGCTGTTCTTTTCCAAAATGAACAAATACCTGGCCTACGATAAGAAACAAGTGACTCCTAACTGCTGTATCCATGGTGATCATCCTTACCAAACTTTCTCCGTTTCTTATTATGCAGTATTCTGCTGAAAAACTCTCTGCTGTTTGGACATCGGTGCCAGTCCGACACAATTATGGATCCAGGTGGGACAGACATTTTAATTTAGCGAAATTAGATAAATGAAAAGACGATTGTGCTTTTTATTATGTGATATGAAGTTACTTTAGCTGCGCGAACGTGAAGCCAACTAGGCTAACCGCAGGGTTGCCAGGTTTTCACAACAAAATCCGCCCAATTGACCTATCGGTCAGCCCCTCCCCTCGAACGCAGATGAGCCAATGGCAGTCGAGTATCAGTTGCACGGGGAGCGGAACTCGGACATCTGTAGGTTTCAGCGTCATAGAGAAACATTGGACGATCCGAAGCTTTCATCGGTTTGATGGTGTTTATGCTACGAAAATGGAAAAACGATGTGCCTGCCTGTGGTATTTGTAACACTGATTCCAGGTATCCTGAGAGGATGGGCAATAACATTTATTTTATTACATTTCCTAAACCCAAACAAAACAGAGCAAAATGTCCCTAAGCATTCAATCCCAGTGAAGACAAAAACGTTCATTTTCTGGTTGTCATTCTCTCATTAATTTACAATTTTCATCTGCTCAAGCAGAACGTTAATGTCTTGTGTTTCAGCAAGGTATCTCTGGCTAAAACCAGCTAACATTAAAGTTAGTGAGTCAATGCTATTACAAACCTAAATAGCGAACTGTTCTCACATCATGTACAGTGTAAGTCAAAAACACATAAACGAAGGTCTACATTTCAGTGCCTCTCCATATTAAACTGGTTAAATGTACATTAATTTAATCGTACTCTGCGGTACATGAACAGTGTTGATCCAGCTTGTTGTCATCGGCAATCGAGAGACGACCGTAATATGAGACTTCTTCTGTTTGCATTGTGATCTGATTGCTTCGAGTTAATCATATTTATTTTAAAAACTTTTATATATCCCTCCATGGAATATTTAATTCCCACTTGATTGGTGCCTTTCTGTGTCCAAAATTGTGCAAAAACATCGTGGGACAAGGTTTTCACACTGACAGCTGTCTTTGTGAGACCTTGAGCAACTCTGTTTGTTTGTCCGAGGGAGCAACAGTAACTAAGGGGGGCGGGGCTTACCGATAGGTCAATTGCTACACAAAACTAGCCCAATCGTGTTACTTAAAATACACATTTTTCGGCAGGG